ATGAAATTTTCATAATTTCATGCGGATGGAGCCGCATGGGAACAGCTAGTTGTATATAATGAAGTAACTTAAAATCTACTAGATCGATTTTGAAAATTCTTACACCGTTAGAAAGGTAATTTATTTGTGAATAACAAAGGCTATGTTTTTCATTGTTGTTTAATTCCACGCGAAAGCAGTTCTGAGTAACAGTGTTACCATATAATCCGCTTTGAAGTAGATTCAGTTCAGAAGTTCTCTGATCTAAATATTATCCAATTTCTTATTAATCATTGATTTAACATTTCATTCTCGTAATGCCTCTGGTTAATTTGCTCTTATTTCCGATACCCAATTCCAAAGAAACGTGCTCGGAATTCTATTATCCATGCTTCTTAGAATATACGAAAAAAGTAAAGTTCTATTTTAATGAAAAGGAATATAATTATTAACATGACATAACTTAAAAAATGTTATTCCAAATACTTTAGATTTATATTTTACCGTAGCAGTAAATAAAAAAAACTTATAGATAAGTAGGTATGAGGGCCTATTTTCAGACTTGTTTCTCTTCCCACTATTTTTGTTCAAGGAAAGTATGGGAAGAGGACGTGTATTTGAGGCGAGATGGGACGCATAGACAGGGAAAATATACTCTTTATATGCGTCCCCTCTATGGAAAAGTAGGCAACGCATCTACAATGCAGATGTCTACTGGTAACGGTCTGTTCAGTATTTTGGCGACAAATTGCTGGCCGCTTGTGTCACCATATAATATAAAAAAGAACCAAAAATCGAATCCCGAAGAATTAAGTGACAACTCACTGGACTCAATACTGGCCACTAATGTCGAAGTCGTTATTTAACTTGCAATCGCTGAATCAACAAACAATGCAAATACCAACAGAACGCACAGTTCAAATTGCATAACTAACGTGATTTGCTTGTTCCGAAACATTGCTTTTATCGCAATTAAAATAATTGAATCATCTATTACTGAACAGGGTTGAACTGGATGGAACTGGTACAAACCGGTTTCTAGTTATGAGTTGATTAGATATTAATTGGCAAATAAACGATTCAGTTTATTACAAAGAATGATATAAAATTACTGTCGATTTAAGTAAACATTTTTTGCTCTTTTAAAATAATTCTCTCTCGCTCGAACTCGCTGTTTATTTGGGAAATTTAATGCAAAATATCAGTACAAATTAAACCAAAATAACCCAAAACTTTACAAATAAACTGAACAAGCAAAATGGAGTTTAAAACAAATATCACTTAAGTATCCGCGCAGTTAAGATAAAAGGATTTAGTACTTTGAAATGGGACACGTGTGAAAACCCTTCGATTTTAATAGGGTGCGATATTTACCCCTAAGGATAAATTCAATTTTCCAAACATAAATTGAGTTGTCCATCGGATTTTAATTAACGAAACACGGTTTATATTTTCCTTGATAAAAGAACATCGATATTTCAATTACGATCATCGTGACCATCTACAATGTTTTTTTACTGTTATTTTTTTAAATCTTTGACACACTTTTCGAAAGTTATTGATTATTTTATCACGATTTTAAAAGTGTATTTAGATAGGTTTTAAATTATTTACTTATACTGATATTAAAAAAAAAGGAAAACTTTGATTGAAATGGGGCCGATTACGACAACGACTATTGGGCCGATTTTAAAAATTCATTCACCATTACAAAGCTGCGTTCGTATCAGTTACATAGGGTTTTTTTTATTGATTTTTTAATTTCACCCAGATGAAGTAGCGGGCAACAGCTAGTCGTAAATATTTGTCAAAAATCTATAGAGCCCAATTAAAATAAACAGCAAATCTAACAACATTGTTAAACAATAGGGTAGTTAAGAGTCGTGCTCTCTGTGTGCAAAGCTCTCAACATCGAGAAGTTGATTGGCAATTACGAATAGTTTTATGAGCAAATATTATAGAAACTATTTACTGTTCGAAAGAAAATCTCATATACTTAATAACCGTTTACATCACTACTAGCTTTTGCACCCTATTCCGGCTTCGTTGGATTAAAAAAAAAATGTAAGTAACCTATGTTCTTCCAGACTATCCACTACATCTATGCTCAATCATGAGAGTCGTTCAGCAGTTAAGGTTACAATTTGTAATATCCATCCATCCATGCATTCATCTAAATTTTTGCATTTGTAATATTACTAGCTGTTCCCGTGCGACTTCATCCGCATAATATTGTGAAAATTATATTTTGTTGTTTACATGTGTTTAATTATCATCTGCAAATGTCCAAATGACATGACATTATGACAAACCATGGCAACTTTGTTTCCTTGATGTTGGCAGTAACTTATGGTCTCTTTCCCACATTGGGGTTTTTATCCAAAATATTCACCCCCTAAGTTTAATGGCGTGAAATATATAGCCTAAAGCGTGACGTAAGTGTGGGGCTTTTTAATAAAAAATTAGTCATTCGGAAATATGCTGTAATTGCTGACATCTTAGGCAACAAAGAAGTGTGTGTTTACGCTTTATTATAACAGTATAGAAGTATAGATAAGTAGTTGTTTGTGCGAATTAAAATACTTAGTAAGTAGCTTTTATGTTCTTCCAGAATATGTTCTACATCCATGTAAATTATGATCGAGATCCGTTTATGTTTTAGAGTACCAAACATACATCCATCCTAATTTTCAACTGTATAATCTATACATATCATAAAGAGGAAAGATTTGTGTTTTTGTATTTTTGTATGTATTAAAATAACTCAAAAACTATTGCTCGGATTTTAAAAAAGTATTCACCATTAGAAAGGGAATGTATCTGTGCGTAACATAGGCTGCATCTTTTATTATGTTTTATGTGTATGATGTTTGCCTTCTGAATGGATTAAATGACTTTATTATTATTATTATTTTTTATTTTCAAGCGGCCAAAGTCGCGAGCAACAGCTAGTGTTAACTATTGGTTATATTAAAAAAATGTTCGATGAATTAGCCAGTACGATCCTACCTGATATTAAATGATTTGGCCTAAAGATGGTACAGGTTAGCTTAGTAAATAATTATAAAGTCTCCTGTAAAAAGTATATCTTCTTTGGACGGAAAAACTTATGCTGGTAACTTCTTTTGCGGAATGAAGAAAGGAAAGACTTCTATATAATAATCTATTTCGGTTAATATCATTTTTTAAAAGCAATCTCAACGTACCGAGGAAGTTTTCAAACATTTCGGAATCAATTTTGTCATGTTAGGGAGCCTTAGGTAAATTTCCTCGGGGAAATAAAGAAACTTTGAACTACCAATTACGCCGTCGAGCGGAATAGAAAAACAAACGACTTCACTCAGATTGTTGACAAACGGTAAACATTTACTCCAATATGAGTATGAACATGTCTTCGTGTAATGAGATTTCGCTGTTGATATTTTATTAGAACACAAATATACAGTATGTTCTAGTAAACCTACATATAAATTATGTTCTATTCAATGCACATATAAAGTATGTTCTAAACATCTAATAATGAAAATTGGAAAATGAGAGTTTGGTAGTTTTGTATGTAGACAGGTAAATTTAATTTTCTATTTACCAGTTTTTACCAAACTAAATAATTTTTAGATAGAAATTCTTACATGTCCCCTCTAAATGCCCTCTAAATATTTAAATTTAAGGGATTATTGGTCAAAATGGGCACAATCTTAGTAAATTTGTTTTAAAATTTAATAGTACGAGTAAATGAATATAGAAGAACTGTTTCACTTAAAACTGTAAGAAGGTTTTGAAACTTTGCAATCTTCAGAAGTTTCCTACAGTACAGTTTTGCACGTAATGGCTACCGTAGCGGGAAACAACTAAACTTTTTAATTTCTAAAACGTTCTTAAGGGATCGGTTTAAACTATTCTGCAATTTTACTTACTTCTAGGACGATAACATATTAAGCAGTTTTTTTTATTGTTGATACTAGAGGGCGTAACCGTTTCGACGATTTTTGTCAACAGGAAACATCTCTCAATAGTTTATCTAAATAAGTGTGATTAGTTTGACAATTTATTAAGGATGGGTTGAATAAAATCAGGTGTGAATGTTTTCGTTTCTCGATTTTACTCTAATAGAAGTTGGAATTGATAGATTCATAGTTACAACTTATGGTTTAAAATAAAATAAAAAATTGTCAAAAATCAATAACGACCTACAGAAGCAAAATGTCACTTCGGTGTAAAAAATAACAAAGTATCTCATTGCTTCTCAAGGTCAAAAAGTCAAAAATCAATTCATTTTTATTATTCCTGGTACAAATAAGTGGTAAGTAATATTTCTATTCATTATTTTTTTATTTTAAAGTTGGTTTTGATATCGTGTTTACAGTAAAATACTTCAGGAGTGTATTTCTATATAAACTAACGTAAATGAACTGTGGATTGACAACACAGCGACGCCATATTAGATAAGCCACTTGCTTCGACCAATAGTGTGCGTTTTAGAACTTAGCGAGGGAATTTGAAAAAAGGCACTTTTTAATGATTAAATTTTGCCACTAAATATTATAAATGCGAAAGTTTAGATGGATGGATGGATGTTTGTTAGCGCTTGTAGCCTAAACGGCTGAACGGATCTCCATGAAATTTGGCACAGGTTTAGAGCATAGTCTGGAAGAACACATAGGCTACTTTTTATCCCGGGATAACTTACGGTTCCCGTGGGATTCATTAATTGAATTTTTATTAAAAACATTAGTTTACTCGATCATTCTGCAACGGTTCAACATATCTTATTGAAATTTGGCACAGACGTAAAACAAAGTCTGGAGTATACATGGGATAAGCTTCTTACCCGAGGTGTCCAGTTCCCGAGGGATACGTAGCTTTTTGTTATTTATATAGTTCGTATGTTTCCTAATACCACGCGGACGTAGTCGCGGGCATTATATTTAAAACAACTAATTTTATTTAGACAAACAATAAAGAATTATTTGTCATAAACTAATAATTTAATCTTAATTAATAAAAATAATAAATTTACTTACCAACACTGTAACCAAATTTATCTGTATGTTTGTATCTGTAACAAATTACATTCATTAAACATTTGAACACTTTTTTACACAACTGTACCAATCGCATTAAAAACTTTCGGTAATATAAAAGTTATTTTAACGTTATCCGTAGAATTGTGAAACGATATCTGAATTTGGCATCCGTTCAATTTGGATTGCAATGTACATGTACATGACATTACAGTACATAACTGTACACTTTTGTATACGATTGTACATTGGATATCTTCCTTTGAGAAACGGGAGATAACGCGAGCAAAGGGTTAGAGCACTCTAAATTATTGTTTGCGGATGTCGCAGAGATATTTTGAAATCGGTTACTCTACCAAACATCTAGTTTAAAAAATCGTTTTGTAACTATTGAAAGTGTCGAATATCATAAATCAATATAAAAAATATTTCTCACCTTGTATGTTCCAGATGTAGCGCTTGTAATTTAGGTTTCTTTGATGATGGTGGAAATTTATCTGTAAATAACAAAAACAATCATTTTATATTGTAATATTATAAATGTGAAAGTTTAGATGGATGTTTGTTAGAGTTTGTAGCCTAAACGGCTGAACGGATCTCGATGAAATTTGGCATAGACGTAGAGAATAATCTGGAAGAACACATAGACAACTCGGAATTGTTTTCTTTTAATCCCGAGCGGACGGAATCGCGGGAGAAAGCTAGTATGGAATATTAAAATTAGATTAATCTCACTTTTGACCCTGACCTTCTCTTCAAGGAATTTAGAAAATCGTAATTAGCTTATTTGTTCTTTGGAATAACTTCTTATAGTCTATGTTCTATATTTATGCCAAATTTCATTGAGATCCGTTCAGCCGTTTATGCAAGACACTCTAACAAACATCCATATAAACTTTCGCATTATAACATTACTTAGTAAGGGGAAAAATTTAGTGAAAAAATGATTTTATATTTGGAATGAAACCAGAACAGGGTGTAAATATCTACGGTTGCCATGGCAACCGGATTAAAAAATAAATCTCAACGTTCCAATTAGTTTTATAAACTGTTCGCCGAAAACATGGCTTCATTTTACAATATCGTAGCTGTATCTAATCCTTTCAAGGCTTGCTTCAATAAATCTGAATTTAAAAGGATGAAACTTAAAATTTATTACAGATATTAATTTTTAAGTAAATGAGCAAAAATAAAGTAAATATACCTTGATTTTATAACCGGAAAATATTTTATAATATATTAGGAATTACAAAAAAATGATGTTTTCATGCCATCTGTATTGTGTATTATTTACTAGCTGTTGTGAGCGACTCCGTGTGCGCAGAATTAAAAAAGTACCCTACGTCTACTTCAGACCAACTTCAACATTTATGTCAAATTTAATCGAAATACGTTCAGCAGTTGACTACATAGTAACATCCGAAGAATGGATATCCATACAGCTATCCAAACTATCCCATTTATTATATTAGAAAGACAGACACATCCAACTTGAATCGTAGTTTTTTTAGTTGTAGTTTTAGAGATCTAAGCATACATACAGCGGGAAGCGACTTTGTTTTACGATATTCAAGCTATTACTCCCGAGTTTGTTCACGTGAACACATAGGCTATGTTATACAGCAATAACGTAGCTTTTTAATGGTGAAAGAATTTTTGAAATCGGCCTAGTAGTTTTTGAGTTATTTCAATGCATACAAAAATCTATATTATTCGTTAGATATTGATGATTATATAAACAAGTTAGATAACGTAATTAAAGTTGCTTTATAATACATGGTTTAAACAAAAGAGTAGTTAACAAAGCACAAACAATGAAAATTGGGTGAATGTTTACTAACTAACGAGCAAATTGTCAGAACGTTGAAAAACACATTTATATTTATGTAACATCGATTTTTTACTTCATATCTAAATTTTGTTAAAAATCGCGTTATTTTAACGAACGGGTAACTATTTTTTTTATTGGACCAAATTAACATTTTATCGTTGTTAACATAAATATTATTATCCAAGTAAATGCTTGCAAAATTAATTATTGCCATGTAGTAATCATCATTACTTACATGGTAAATCTGACGTTATTATAGAATAATTCAAAGATATAAAGTCAACCCACTGTGCAGCGTTGTTAACTATGCCTAGTCATAACAACAGTGGTAGAGCCCGCTTTAACATCTTCGCACGAGTGGGCCGACTCACCTGCTGCAATACCACGACCACACAGAAAAAAGGCGTGAAATTGAAGCAATTCTGCGTTTTGTCTAATGAGTTTGGTGCCGGAGGCGTAATTTTGGACCATTTCACTTCTCACCATTTTCTTTTACGGAATGGATGGGAAAGAAAAGTTGGACGGTGGAGGAGGCGCATAGAAAGGGGAAATATTCTCTTTATGTGTGTATTCATCTCCGTTGATAAAAGGTAGGTAACGCATCTGCAATTGCATATGTACATGGGTAGCGATCAGTACGCTTTCTCGACGAATTCAGGTGGCCGCTCGCTCGTTTGCCACCTTATAATACAAATGAAAAAAATGGTTATGGAACTGGAGTGGACATACATGGTCTGACAATTAAGGTTGAATATCTAACGAAAAGATTCTGCAACATTTAATACATTCTTGTCACGTACGTATTAAATGGGCATGACCCTAATAACGCGAGCCTCACTTATATAGTAAAAGTCCCATAAGACTCTGTCAGGCCGATTAACGCCTCGCACCCTTATAATCTCCTGATTAGAGTGTTGACGCTAGATGGCGTTACTTCTTATCATATTCTCACCAGTCTGTAGTGCCTTTTACGATAGAGGAAATCTTTGTATTTAACATTCGAATGGCTTTAATTAAATTTTTCTAACAAGGCTTTATCAAGTTTGGACCCTAATCATAACCAAACCATTTGATCAAATCAACGATATTTTTTATTGATTCAACTAGTTTTCTTGCGCGATTTCCCTCCGTCGAGATAAAATAAACACAACACCAAGTGGCCTATGTGTTCTTCCATCGAGATACGTTAAGCCGTTTAGACAGTAAACTCTAACAAACATCCATCCATCCATATAAACTTTCCAATAACATTGGTAAGGTTATATCTATACTAGTATAATAAAGCATAAACACATACTTCTTTGTTGCCTAAGATGTCAGCAATCACAGCATATATTCGAATAACCCTTTTTTTAATAAAAAGCCCTACACTTACGTCACGCTTTAGGCTATATATTTCACGCCGTTAAACTTAGGGGTAAATATTTTGGATAAAAACCCTAATGTGGTAAAGAGACCATAAGTTATTGCCAACATCAAGCAAGCAAGGTTGCTATGATTTGACATCATGTCATGTCATTTTGACATTTGCAATTGATAACTTGACAAATGTGAACAATAAAATGATTTTTTTATAATTTCATGCGGATGAAGTCGCATGGGAACAGCTAGTAATGATAGATTTTTACTATTTAAAACTTCGAAATTCATAGAGAAACTTCAAGAATTTATACAATATTAATTTGAAATATCGGTGTTTGAAGAACAATTCCTAGTAAGTTCTAGAGCAAATAAATGAGAGAATTCGTTACAGTGATAGTTCTCAAATAACTTGGCACTTGAGATCCGCATTGTAATGGACTGCCATTACTGGAGAGTATTGAACTGATGGCTCCCGAAGTGTTGCGAAAACGTTTTTGTATTCAATATCCGTATTTAGAAAATTCCCTTTTTAGTTTTTTCTCATCTGTTACAAGTTTAATTATTAAAATATTCTTTATATCTATCGTACTAATATTGTAATTGCGAAAGGTTGGATGAATGCTTGTTAGAGTTTGTAGCCTAAACGGCTGAACGGATTTCAATAAAATTTGGTATAGGTGTAGTTAGTCTGGAAGAACACATAGGCTACTCAATTTTGTTTTTCTAATTCCACGCGGACGGAGTCGCAGGCGACAACTAAACTAATATAATAAAGCGTAAACATACAATACTTTGTGGCGTAGGATGTCAGCAATAACAGCATATTTTTGAATATTTTTTTATTTAATAAAAAGACCTACACTTACGACACGTTACATCTTTTCGAGCTACTAAACTTTGGGGGTAAATACATTGGAAAAACCCTCCATGTGGAAAAGAGGCCATTAACTACATGCTGCCAATATTAAAACAAGTTTATTATGATAACGGTTTTGACATTTGCAATTGAGAATTTATAAAATGTAAACAATAAAATAAAGTTTTTAAAATTTAATACAGATGAAGCCGCGCGGGATTAGCTTGTAAATTATACAATAGTTATATCTTATATTAACAAGTAAACTTATATCCAATTATCTTCTTGGTAAAGTAAACCCATGTATGTTATTTCCCAAAGGTACTGTGTAAGAAATTAATACTAAATCGTTACGAGCCCCGTTACATGCTTACATTATGATTTTGGTAAGAAAATCAGTTTTATGTTTATTATCAAAGAACTTATGAAATGTAGTAAAGAATATTAATTTTTTTCAACTTTCTACAAAGAAAAATAATCTATTACATGCTTGTTTAATAATTAGCTGTAAATATTACTAATATTATAAATGCAAACGTTTAGATGGATGTTTGTTAGTTTGTAGTTAAATTGCTTAACGGATTTCGATGAAATTTGGCATAGACGTAGATGGTATGGAAGACCACATAAGCCACTTTATTTTTTTATCTCACGCGGAGAAAGTCACGGACCAAAGCTAGCCTTTAATATATTTCAACATCGTACAGAAGTTTGGCTCAGTTTTAAATATTTTTTGTTTAAACAAGCCACTTGAAAGCCTCGAAGTTAATAAACACAACAAATCAAAAAGTATCAAAGAAAACGAGCCTAAAATAAATTTTACATCATAACAATTATTTTGAATCGCTTCCACTTTCCCGTTCTGCTTTAACCAAAACAACTTTTGGATTCTTTTTAAATGTTTTTTCGTCGCTTGTTTTTTCGTTCCACTCAAAATGCGATTCGAATTTTTTTCTCTCTCCTTTGTTTTTGTTCAACTTAACTGGTATACAAAAAAAATCCTTAGGTTTAAAATGTAAAAAAGCTAGGCTGGATTAATAGTTACACTGGTATTAAAAATTGACAAATGTCAGTCGAGGAATTAAATTACTAACCCATTTACAATTGAAAACGCTACAGCAATGGTGAATGTGCATGTATCGATGTTAAATTTTTCTAAAAACATATTATTTTTAATACTACCTTTCGTCCGCGAATTTGTCCGCGTGGATTTAAAACAAACAATAGTGAGTAGCTACGTGGTTTTTCAGACCATTCTCTACACCTATGCTCATTTTCATCCAGACCCATTTAGCAGTTTAGGCTAAAAACTCTAAAAAACGTTCATCCATCCATCTAAACATTCGCATTTATAATATTACGCTTCTTTTTTTAATACGTTATGAATTTCGTGATCAATAACCTAATATTAGTATGTCATTCATTCACTCCAATCTTAAAGTAAACTGTCAAAATAAATGTGTTTATTTTGACTGCAATGACATCTGTCAAAAAGAACAAAAAGGATAGCAATACATAGTCACTGCATTTGCATGTTCCTAACATAAACGTATTCGACCAATAATTTAGAACGTCTAATAACATTTCATTAACATGGGAATGAAATTAAAGTTCCCGACTAGATTTTTACTATGCAATTTTTAGTTTGAAGTTTAGTTTTGCAACGTCTCCTCTGGTATTTATTTCAAATTCTCAATTACTCCTTCGCCTTTATAGACGTAGGATATGTCGCAAAGGAATTCCGTTTAGATCCTTCAGACCCAAAACCCTTAGACAACGGTATGTGCAATATTCCTAACAAATTCTATTCCATCCTTGTTATGTTTACTCGTTTTTTTAATAGTAAACATAACTTAGAACATCGGTGGCTCAGAGGTTTAAGCACTTGACTTGTAAATTACAGGTCTTGGGTTCGAATCCCGCCATACCAATGTGATTTTCGAATTTCATATGTACATAATTTACCTGACGTTCTTACGGTGAAGGAAAACATCGTGATGCCTGCACATATCGGCTAAGAACTTCAAAGATATGTGAAATCAACCCGCAGTGCAGCGTAGTTGACTAAGGACTAGTCACCCTTAAGGGTGTCTCCGAGCCCCTCTGTGGGAACGTATAGTGAGTGATGATAAGTAACTTAAAAATACAATAATATAATTACTAAACTACTGGGAATACATTCCACTAAATGATACACTGGCATGCAAGCTACTGGCGCCAGATACAGGCTTGTGCACGCCAATTGGCAGTACATGGAATGCTTGTAGCTACTACGGTATATAATTTTATGACAGCAGATGTAGGTTTAAGGAGGGGCCGAGGATGTACTAAGTATGTCCAATCTAGTCTCATACGATCTCGTTAGAGTTTTGCTGTCTGTATACTCTTTGTGCTAGCTGATCCGTGCCATTAGCTTGCATGTATCTTTTTTTACTGGAATATGTTTGCTGTTTTAATCCGAATTTAAAATCAATATACTTTCTTTTGAAGTCAGTTCTAATGTTTAAATATTCTCTTTTACTTTATGGGAAAAATAGAGATTTATTTACTTGATGGTTCACGCAGTTTTGCACTTTGCGATTCTTTTTTTCTAACGTATCCGATACCGAAAGTAACTTGGGGTGAAGGGTCCATTTGTTATTCGGAAGAAAATGGATGCTTCAATAGATATTACGTTAAATACATTCTACTTCTCGGCACTATAGTTTTTATAAAGTAGGTTTCTACTGTTCGTTACATTCCACATCAAATATACAGGGTGTTTCTTAACGGACGGATCAAAGGCTTGTGGAGTTAGAGGACCTCAATACCTATTGTTTAAGCGCAAAACAAGTTTACAAATTTTCTATGGTTCTAAAGTTATTGTTTTTTTTTATTTCGTTCTCATGTGTGTTATTCCAAAAAAGGAAACAACGGTATGAAAGCTTAATTATTTGACTTGTTCAAGAAAAAAATGACCACTGTAAACACATTATTTTGGTCGTACGGACAAATTTTAGCCGGAAATCTGACTTTTACGATCTTATCACAAAAATACTACATATCTTTAAGACTGATTAACGAATCATAATGGAATTTGGCACAGTTGAACATAGTCTAGAACACACAGGTTACTAGATATTTTCAATGTTTACTACAACTAGAGCCCAGGGCAGGATTTATACGACGCCTCCTATGTACATGTCGCCCAGGGCGGTCGTCCAAACGCCCTTTACACAGTTTAATTAACCCAATCCATTAAGCTATAAACAAGTATTATTCTTATTGAAATTTAAAATTCATACAAAAGTGAAATGTTAAAATGAAATATTTTATTATCCTTTTGAAGCTGCTTTGAGTCGAAAAGTCGGTATTAAAATAAAGCATAGTATGAAAGATAAAAGCCGCGGAGAGCTTGTTAATAATAAAAACGCAGAGTTGAGTAGATCATTAGTGACTTGTCGAATAATGAGGGAGCAATAGTGTCATTATTTTTTTTAATACACTAGCTATTCCCGTGCGGCTTTGCCCGCGTGAAATTATAAAACCTTTATTTAATTGTTTACATTTGTCAAATTCTCAATTCCAAATGTAAAAATTACGGTTACCTTGCTTCCTTTTTATTTTCAGTGTGTAGTTTATGGCCTACTTGAAGATTTTTTCCTATTTATTTACCCCCTTTAACGTAAAAATATATAGCCTAAAGCGAGTCGTAAGTGTAGAGCTTTTTAGTAAAAAAGGAATTATTCAAAAATGTGTTATGCTTGATGACACCCTACGCCACGAAGTAGTGTGCTCAACCTCTTTTGTAATACTTAATAGAAATGCCACCTCCTTTTGTTCCAATATTATCCTTTTTTAGTATTATCCACGCAATGCGGTTTTGTTGATACTTAATCGTGCGCACGCCTGATGTTATCGCACAATTAATCTTGCTTTGATTTCTATGAGCTTACACGAAGGTGCATACTACTAGATTTTTAGTTGTGTAAAACAATTGAATTGGCTGCATAACAATCGACAATCGCACAACAGTTTTGCGATATGTTAATCAAAGGCGTACGCCCGCTTGTAATTGGTAAAAGTTAAAGTACTATTTTATTATAATACGTCTCATCTATATTAATGTAATAAAGCGTAAACACACACTTCTTTGTTGCCTAAGATGTCAAAAATCACAGCATATTTTCGAACAACTCTCTTATTAGTAAGAAGCCCTTCACTTACGTCACGCTTTAGGCTATATTTTCATGCCGTTAAACATAGGGGTTAAAATTTAGGATAAAAACCCTAATGTGGGAAAGACACCATAAGTTTTTGCCAACATCAAGGAAGCAAGGTTGTCATCATGTCATGTTTTGACATTTGCAATTGATAATTTGACAAAAGCGAACAATAATGATTTTTTTTTATTTTATGCGGATGAAGTCGCATGTAAACAGCTACTCTTAACTATTTGTAAAAGGTTCGTATAATGTACAAATTAGAAAAGTTTTTATAACCCAGTTACACTAAGGTTTACCCCTCGTCTAATCTGTAAACGTCATTCCTAATCTGACTTCCTCTTAACTACTTTCGCTAAGTGCTAGTAAGATAAACGAGAAGTGTTCCTTTTTCGATCATATTCCACATTTTTATTGACTAATGGTAGACTAATTTCTTGCTAAAGTAAAACAACTTTTGAAAGACTTCAATTGTTACTTCAAAAAGGTATATCTTTAAATATATGTACAATTTAATATCTATACTATTATAATAAAGCGTAAACACACATTTCTTTGTTGCCTAAGATGTCCGCAATTACACCATATTTTTGAATAATTATTTTTTTAATAAAAATCCCTACACTTACGCCACGTTTTAGGTTATATATTTTCTTATAAATATTTTGGATAAAAACTCTAATGTGGGAAAGAGACCATAACTTGGTGCCAACATCACGCTGCAAGGTTGTTATCATGTCATGTCATTTTGACATTTGTAATTTATAATATGACAAATGTAAACAATAAAATAAAATTTTCATAATTTCATGCTGATGAAGTCGCACGGGAACAGCTAGTATAGAATAAGAAAACTTAGCAAATAGACTATGTTTTATATCTGTGCAAAATTTGAGCAAGATCTTATATTTTTAGCAAGATTTATTTAATTTTAAAGAGTATTTTAAATACTTAGCTTTATTATTTCATCTCTCTAAGGATTGCAGAGCGTATATTTATTTTAATATGATATTAAAGTCAACTTTGCTGTTGCGTCAACGTTGTTGGAAAACATCTCTAGGGATCCTAACTATAATGCTTTGAGTCCAAGTTATGTTAAGATAAACATGCCTAGACGATTAAAGCTACTGACCTTAAATGGACAGGTCATGAGACAGGTATTTTGTGCACACACTTAAGTAAACACGCGCGCTTAAATTTGATTGACGCAGAATATCTTATTGGCAAGCTATTGCCCATCTATCTATACAGACCAATGATTACAATTGTCTTTTTTGTAATATCTAAAATAGTTTATTTTTAATGTTTTTACTTACTGAAGTCTGAAGTTTTTCTTGAATCTTCTTTCCATCTGTAACAAACAAAAGTATATGTTAACATTTCCCTGTACTTATACAATTTTATATGGGCTTACGCAATATTACATACTTTTTTTATGATGTTAAATTGAGAGTGTACTGTTCGTTACGGGGTGTAACGTTACATACAACACAGCAAGCATGCATGCAGTCAATACATAGCGTTAGGGGAAACCAGCAAGCAACGAGTCGCCTGTCCCCAATAGCGCTTCGGAACATACAACTACGTAACTTCATTTAATACGCACCTTTAGAGGGTGATGACGTATTTACAATTAACATAAATATGAAACAGTATACGAGTAAATTAAAACATACGGATGTGGCAACGTCAAATACAGTAAAGGTGAGAATACACATGTGAGTTACATAGAACTTCAACTCTCAAACCAGTTGACTAAATCGTATGAAAAAGACTCATCACTGTCAAACTTCGCATCGTTTTCGACAGCAACTTGGATAACCGTAGTCACAACATCAAATACTATTTGTCAATTATAGGGCCCGCTTTAATATCTTGGCACGAATGCGCCGGGTTTCTCGGTGTAATACCAGAACCACACAGAAGACGGACGTCGAGTGGAAGCTATTCCGCATTTTATATGATGAGTGTGCCGGAGGCCTAATTTTAGTGCTTTTCCCTTTCTACCGTTTTCTTACGAGTAAACGATGGGAAGGAAAAGTCGATATGATGGTAGAGGAAACGCATGGGAAGGGGAAATTTCCTCTTTATGTGCATCTCATCCTTCGTTGATTAGGTAGGCATCTGCAATTGCAGATGTCTATGGGCAACGGTCGCTTCGCTATTTCAGCGATTTCAGGTGACCGTTTGCCCGTTTTCCACCTTAATAATATAAAAAATGTATATATGTTTGCCAGATTAGCATGGAAGCTTGCATTCACGTCTGTGGCTTGCACTTGCCAGCTTGCCAGTGTGCCAGTTACCAGGTGTATTCTCGCCTTAATGCTTAGAATGCTTTCACGTGCATTTATTCGAGAGCGTCTACACAGTTGTGAGTTGTCGGCATTTACGCCTGCAAAGCAGAGGGGCATAAATTTTACTTTGAGTTACGTAAGCGACAGTTTGGTTTTGTTTGCGAATTTATTGCACGACCGAGCCGAATGATACTTTGCTTATCTGTGCCCTAGTTGTTTTCATTGTACGTGTATATTTGAGATTTAGAGCCCGCGCACTTTTGACTAAACTTCCGCACTATCGTTTAATCGCGCTTAATTTCCTATGGGCTTATAGAGGTGCGCTCACTACTCGATTTTTAGTTGTGTAACTAAGCCATTGAACTAGGTGCGAAACAATTGACAATCACACAACAGCTGTAAGATATTTTAGTCAAAGGTGTGCGCATGCTCTTAACGTAATTAGACAGGATTTTAGTTTTTACTAATTAAAATTTTACGCAGCATGGAGAGAGTGAAAACTAGTTGATATTCTTATATCTTCCTGCCTAGTCCTAGGTCTGGTCTATGCGTTCCTTTCACGAATGCGGGAAATTCTGTATTTCAACTGAAACGTAGTTTTGAGAGGGTTTTAGGGCCGAATACTGAAAGAAATCTGAAAAAATTAGCTTCGTAGACACCATTACAATCTGACAAACTTCGACATTATAATGGATTTTACGCATGGCTTTAATATAAAGATGATGTTAATTGTTTAAATCATTCTAATTTTATAAATGCGAAAGTTTCGATGGATGGATGTTTATTAGAGTTTGTAGCCTAAACGGCTTAGCGGATTTCGATGAAATTTGGTATAGATGTAGAGGATAGCCTGGAAGAACATAAAGGCTACTCACTTTTGTTTTTTTTTTAATTCCACGCGGATGGAGTCGCGTACAAAAGGTAGTATAAAGTAAAGTCATAAAATCCGTAATGTAAATATTCATGTTTCAAGTAATAACATATGTTTTTCCAGTTGTATCTCAAAGTAAGGTTTAACGGCTTTGTAGCGAAATTGTTTATTACGTTGTAATAATAAATTGCGGAAAACGTATCTCAAGACGCTGTTTCGGATAAAAATATTGCTACACTTCGCAAGCATGAAAAACGTATGCAATATTTTGAAACGAGTATTTCTAAAAATGGCGACTTGACTAAAATAAAATTTCCGTACTTCTATTAGCGTCTCGATGAATGTCTTGTAAAGGTATATTATACTAGCTTTCACCCGCGACTCCGTCCGCGTGAAATATTAAAAAAAAACCAAGTAGCTTATGTGTTCTTCCATACTATCCTCTACATGTATGCCAAATTTCTTTGAGATCCGTTCAGCAATTTAGGCTGCAAACTCTAACGAATAATCAACCATTCATCCATCCATCTAAACTTTCGCATTTATAATATTAGTATGACATATGATGTTATTCAGCAATAATGTAGCTTTCTAATTGTGAAAGAATTTTTTAACTCAGTTTAGTAGTTTTAGAGTTATTTCAATACATATATATCTCCTCTTTATAATATTAGTATAGAAGTATAGATAAAGACTTCCTTTAACCAGCGACTACGAGGAATTAAAAAAAAAGTAGCCTATGTCTTCTTCCGCAGTATTCTCTGTATCTGCCCGAAGATCCGTTAAGCAGTTGAGGCTATAAACTCTAACAAACACCCATCTAAACTTTCACATTTATAATATTAGTAGTATGATTATCATGGTAGTTGAGTTAGAATACACACGCCGGAATCCGTATTCACGGGCCAGGAATGTTCACAACATCGTAGTAGACGAAACATCAAAGTCAAGAGCCAATAGTCTAATGGTTTTAGGTATTGGTCGAGGATTCAAATCCCGCCATTCCACTATTGACGTGAACCTAGCCCTTAATTGAAATAGTTCAAGTAAACATTAGTAAATGAACGAAAATCTACGAAACTTTACATTAAAAAAAAGTTTCGTAACCCCCTATCAATGAATAACATAGGCTGAGTTTCTATACTATTATAATAAAGCGTAAACACACACTTCTTTGTTGCCTAAGATGTCAGCAATCACAGCATATTTTCAAATAACTCTTTTTTTAATAATAAGCCCTACACTTACGTCACGCTTTAAGCTATATATTTTTATTATATTCACGCCATTAAACTTAGGGGGTAAATATTTTGGATAAAAACTCTAATGTGGGAAAGAGACCATAAGTTGCTGCCAACATCAAGAAAGTAAAATTGCCAAGGTTTGTCATGTCATGTCATTTTGACATTTGCTATTGACACTTTGACAAATGTAAACAATACAATAAAATTTTCATAATTTCATGTCGATGAAGCCGCACAGGAACAGCTAGTTCTTAAATAACACGCGAGAGACGTCGCGAGCTACAGCTAGTAAGACATATTTAATTAAAATGAGGCCAAATGGTTGTACTATAAAACCTTTTATCGGAGTACTAACTTTTGTTCCGCAGTGTACCTCTCTCAATAATACATATGAGCTAAGACGGCAGAAGAGTCTCGGATAAGTAAAGCACTCTAAGTTATTACTTTCACGCGTACAAAGGTTTTTTAGTACATACATATAAGCACTAAGTAATGCATTGGTTACTGAAGGCAAATTCGATTTGAAGTTACTATTTATCAACCTTTTTAAAAACCCTAACATTGAAATGTTTAAAATCCAAAGCACCTTTAACTAAAATATCGCAGAACTGTTTAGTCGTGCTTTGAATATGAGCTTATATGGAGGTACACACACTACTCGATTTTTATTCGTTAAACTTAACAGTTGAATAGGCTGCAAAATCGATAATGAATTTGACTAAATTATCGCACCACTGTTGTGCGATAGTTTAGTCAAAGGTGTGCGGCCGCTCATTAGAGTGAGCATCGATATTAATCGACTTAAATGATGAACGAAGAACTCGCTAGTCAAAAACTAAGAGACAATTTTCTTACTTTATATTTGAAGGAGTAAGTACCTGATACTGACTGGGGACTTGTAAAAACATAAGCTAAGAAAGCAAAAATGACCCTAAATTTCGTCGCGCGATTTTGAGCTAAACTATTTAACTCATAGTCTTTGACTTCAAAAATCAAACAAAAAAATGGGACCCACTTGCACGCATTACTTTTCGGATAAAAAAAGAATTATCAAAATCTGTCCACTAGTGGCGGAGTTATGCCGTAACACACATAAAAAAAATATACAGACGAATTGAGTACCTCCTTCTTTTGGGAAGTCGGTCAAAAAGACGATATATAAGCCGTCATTCTTCTGTTTTCCCTTTGTATAGATTAGAAACGCATCTTACGTTTTAGAATATAATAGTAGATACAATCAATCGCTTGGTCATATTTCATATAGGTAATATCTTAAACTATAAAGAAAATAAATAAATTTAACACTTACTTCGAACTTTGTTGTACGGAGTTACTTGCCACAGCATGTATTTCGTCTGAAACAGTCAAAACAACATCTTTAAATGTAAGAATATGACAGAAATTATGAATTATAGTTGGATAAACCATTTAACCGTGGTAAAGCCCGCAACATATTTTGTACTAATAACGAAAAACAACGTTTGTGAAACTACATTATAAAAATCCTAAGATCAAATAGCTGATTCACTGACCCTTACATAAAATAGATATACTTGCGTCTGGACTAAATTGAAGGAAGTTTGACAGTAGCCTCAGTGGTAGAGGTGAGGAGTAAAAGATTAACATGGTATGTTATGAGGAAGGATGAATAGCATGTAACAAGGAGAAAGGACAAAAACCTGTTGCGCTGACCCTACGGGAGTAGGACAGTGGTAGTGCCTTTAACATCTTAGCACGAATGGGCCGGCACGCTCGGTATAATACAACGACCACACAGAAGACAGCCGTGAAATGGAAGCAATTCCGTGTTTCGTCTCATGAGTGTGGTGCCGGAGGCCTCATTTAAGTCCCTTTCTCTTTACCACCCTTTTCTTATAAAGAGAGGATGGGAAGTGGAAGTGGATTTGACGGTGGA